AGATATACGACTCCAACGACATCTATGGACAAAATACGAAAAGACTTTTTCTACTACCCAATATAATACTTCGAGTTTATCGTAGCCTAGCTAAACAAAGCCTAACCGAGGATGGTTTTGTGAAGATGTCATTACTAAGACCGCAGAGTGTTTGGTAATTTGGGTCAGAGGCAGCGACTTTTTGTTTTTGTACTGGTGCTTGGAACGACTGGTTGCCTTGCGGCCCTGTGGCTTTGCCCGTGGCTGTATCCTAGAATGTTAGCGGCATTAGCTGGGAAATCTCGAATTATCAGTTAATCTCACATTTTCAGATGATTTATTCTGCTTCTTTTCTTGATCTAATTTCGCTTTTCCATCTGTTGCTGCTGGAACGGTAGCTTTTGCAGCTTCATTTGTTTTAGGTTGGGTCTCAGCCGCTTCCTTATTAGCAGTTGCTGATGTATCTGCTGTTCCAGATTTCTGTTTATCTTTATCCTTTTCTGGCTCTGCTGTCTTTGGTGGTGCAGCCTTTCTCTGAAACGACTTACTCTACTTTAATTTTGTTTAATACTTCTATCGCGTACACTACCTTCTTGTCCATTATTGAAGCTGTCTCTCATAGGTTTAGAACGATTAACGCCATATCTTTGAAGCCACAATTTATCACAAACCATTTCTCTCTGTCGTGAAAGCGCTGCGAGATGGTTGCAATTTGCAATTTCAGAGAATTTGAATGGATAGCCTTTTTACTTCTTTTTTAAATGTAAGTTTAAGGGCGTGTTTGGAAACGCGCCAAATTACAGTAGAGAGACTTTCAAAATGCGGAATCAACATTTTTATACATTTCTAAAACTCGTAATTCTAATTTTAATTTCCTCAGGTTGCTTCTTGGCGCAATCATACCTCCATTAGTATGCTTTTGAACAAATTTTCATGTAATTAAAGCGATATAGCTGTTTCTAGCCAAGGTTTAAGAAAGAATCTTATAAAACCTACCGTCCAAGAAAAGTAAGATGACACAGTTCCAAAAAAGCTCATGTTCGCGTCTCCCTG